TGAGTGCACACGGTGTCCTGGAACAGTGTCGAGTTTATTATATATGCGTGCAACCATGCATTACTATATTCATTAGTTATTCGCATAATAAAGCGTATAATGATTCGCTGTTATTTGTACAACTACGTATGCTTTTGCAACGCTTTTACTCGTTGATTTTGCTTAACCCTGGCGTTCAAATAGCATATAATAAGTATATGTCGAAATATAGAGGTTAACCCTTCAAAATAACGCTCTATACAGTGTGCATTTGATACACAAAATATGTCGCCTCCATTTCTAATCACGTGGAAATAGGCAGTGTCACGTGTCTGTTCTGGCTGCCCCTACTCAAAAATCGGGGTAGTCAGAACAGTTCAGAACAGTCATGTGACTGTCTTCTGTTCCATTATTTAGTGTTCCAAAAATCTGGAGTACTCCGAACAGTAAATGGAGCAGCTTGCAGTAGTTACATAGTTAAATAATGCCCTGATGGTTGTGAAGTCGCTTATCACATTGTTTTAATTGTCCAGCTCATTATTTTATGAGGGAAGACAGTACCCTAAAAATGGCGAATAATGGCCGGCGTCAGAGAGGCTAGTTATGGTGTAAATTGTGTATGTGGGCCTGCATGTAAAATGTCCTACTTTGTATATGATTTGCTTGATTACAATGCATCTTAAAGAAATATGTCATGATTATGCCGCGAATTACACAAGAGCTGAGAAATTTGATTGTTTACTTCGTTTCAGAATTAACCGTGTTTGTCATTGACTGACTATACTGTAGAATCAGCCATGCTCACAATTTTTATTTACAATCATTAGTACAACTTCTGAATCTCATTTTTTTAGAAAACAAAATAAATTAACATATACAGTGTGTCATTTATTATTATTGTCTTTATTAGGGTCCAATAAAGTATATGTACAAAGTTAATTTATATAAGCAATTATTCGAAGACCCTAAATGGGCGAGGCGCAAACGGGACTTGAAGAACCATGCAAGGCATGTTAGGCACCTGCCCAAATTTACTGTTCTAGTAAACCTCGGAGTTGCACACGCCACATAAAGTCGAAGGTTAGTAAATCTCCCAGTTGTTTCCTACAATGCACTGTGTTCCTATTTAATGAAAGAACTGTGGGAAACAATTGGCACAGTGGGAAACAATTGACCCTATTTGTAGTGTTATAAGTCGAAATTTTGCAAACATTTTAAGCATTACGTACGGCACCAATTCATTGTTTTAAATTGAAAGAGTAATTAATGGTTGGAGACCCAAATGTCGGAGACACAAAAGTCAAAGGTTCCGATACGGATTTCCTTTCTTATATGCACAACCAAACCTTCCGAACCGAGCTGAAACACCGCTGCGTATTTCCTGGGAAAATGAGCCTGCACGTGTACTGAACGACTTCCTTCGTTTGATATGTATGACGTCATCTTCGTTCCCAGAGCCTCTAGATTTACTACGCGGTACAGGGTTATAAAAGCGAGTGCGTCTGTTGGAGTCAGTGTGACCATATATGCAAATTTTTTTACTAAAGCTGCTTAAAATTGGTTGGCTGCCCCCTCCTGTTCTTAATGTTGCAGTTGTTTAAAGCAGGTGGGGTTGTCTAAGGGCATCCAACCGGATCTGGTAATAAAATGTACTAAACCTGGTCACACTGGTTGGAGTTGATCAGAAGCTGTAGAAGTCGTTGGAAGTAAAAGTACAACATTTTTTCAAGTGACTCTTTTCAGGTAATAATTATGAATGTGAGCTTTCATAGACATAATTTTCCGCTGTAATATCAGGTTAGACAAATCCATGCAGCAATTATGACTTGTACTAAAGTCTGGTTTTCCATTTTGTTGCAACAGTCACCAAGGTATAAAGATAGCCGTTGTGATAGAGTGATTAACCTGTAGAAACTAGTACAGTAGAACACCGCTTGCTAGAACTAAATCCAATTTTCCCTGGATTTGACTCAATTTTTATAGTAATTTACTCCAGTAAACACGAACTCGCTTAACTTGAACTCCTCGCTATCTCGAACAAATTTCATTTTCTCTTGACCCATCAACTCGAACTATATTGTTGTGACGTGGTTCGGCAAATCTCAAAATGTCGGAACATGGGGTTATATCGTTGTGTTACGGATCATAACTATTTACAATATCATGCAAGCACAGGGTTCCTAGCGTTCCCAGGGTTCCTGGCGTCACTGCCGTTCTTGTTGTTCCTGGCGTTCTTGTCGTTCCTAGCGTTCATGCCGTTCTTACTGTTCCTGCCGGTCTTGTTTTTCTTACTGTTTCTGCCGTTTTTGCTGTTCCTGGCGTGCGCTATAGGAACTCTGGGAACTGTATGCATGCATAATTATTGTAAATATACATATAGTTATATAATTATGATCCGTAACACAATGATATAACCCAACATAGCACATTGACAAGTTGGCATCTTGGATTTCTATTTAGACAGCAACAATTTAATTGGTATCATAATATATACAAACGTAATACAAGTTCATAAAGAGATAAAAGGTTCGATCAAGATGGAGGTTGCGTCGATCATTACTGATCTAGCCGCCGATAGGTACTGTTGGTAGGTCGTGTGCTGTTAAAACTGTCACTGTGATAGGAACTGTTTAATTCTTAATAATAGGCTAATAGGTAACAATAGTACAAACTTTGTAAGTTCTTTATAGTGCACAGTAATGCACAGTGCTCACAATTGTGATGAATTATAAAACGACTATACCTTGTACGAAATCCAACATTACATAATAAACTAAATCCAACACCGACCCCGTTAACTCGAACCCCGCTAACTCAAACAATTTTTTGCTTTCCTTCCCTGCAGCTCCGCGATTCCGATGCAATGCTTTCACCAACTGAGCTATACCCTCTCATTTACTCGTTTATACTATAAATTTCCAGGTTTCTGACGGCTCTAATTATTTATTTTCACTTTTTCGCACAGATCAGTCTATAGTGAAGATGAAATTTCTTTTTGCAGTTTTTATAATTTCAACTTTTGTTTTCTCAGGTAAGAACTGTTTATCAGTTAAAGACTTGTGCATATATATAATTAAAATATAGTTTCTACAGTTTTCTATTAATTAATGTGGACTATCCCGAACATTGCTGGGATAGCTTGAGTAGCTGGGCAGCTTGGTTAACACACAGCACACAAAACCCATGATTAATTGCAAAGTATTTCATTGCCATTGGTCAAGACTTGTTCACGACAGCCACGGGCAAATATAGTGGAAACTAGACATTAAGAAATATAAAAGACAATTTTAAACAAAAAAGTCTTCAAACGTATTTTATTCAGTGTGTTCTCAGGAATTCAAAGGTACGAAGGCTACCCAATAATATATGTACCACTTGAAGCGGAACTGAAATGCATGGTTTAAGTATAACTTGGCACTGTATTGTGTTCAACTGACATATGGAATTATTCATCATTGAATCAACTATTAAACTTTTCTGGCGTGTTAGGTTAAAAAAGAATGCTCAATTAAGATGTTTTCATAATATGTAAAATAATATGATTCTGTCATTTGGAAGATGTTTTAAAAGGAATAGGGACAAATCTTTTCTCCTATTCTACATTTCATCCAGTAGCAATGGCTAACTGGGTTGCATTGTTACTGAATATACTTTTTAATATAACTGATTAATGTATTCTGTTCTGTCTTAGGCCATGCTGCGTCTTATTGGACTAACTGGCTGGACCGAGATAATCCTTCAGGCTATGGGGACTATGAAACGTACAGTTCTTTTGTGACTTATGGCAAAGTAAGCCTTTTTGAAGTTGACATCAGAACGTATATTTTAACATTGGAATACATGTATTTATGAGCGTTGCTGAATATTCCTAACAATTTTCCTGCTCTTATAATCCAACTCCACATCCTATAAACCTAATCCTTATCCTTATTTGACCTATAATCCTGATCTTAATCCCAATCTTTATCTTAATCCATATGCTTAATCCACATCCTTATCTTAACCCCATATCCTTAATTTTAACTCTCATATCCTTAATGTTAACCCTATATCGTTAATCTTAACCCCATATCCTTAATCTTAACTCTATATCCCCAATCTTAACCCTATATCGTTAATCTTAACTTATTAACTTTATATCCTTAGTCTTATCTTCACCCTATATCCTTAATCTTATCTTAACCCTATATCCTTAATCTTATCTTAACCCTATTTCCTTAATCTTATCTTAACCCTATATCCTTAATCTTATCTTAACTCTATTTCCTTAATCTTATCTTAACCTTATTTCCTTAATCTTATCTTAACCCTATATCCTTAATCTTATCTTAACCTATTTCCTTAATCTCATCTTAACCCTATATCCTTAATCTTATCTTAACTCTATTTCCTTAATCTTATCTTAACCCTATTTCCTTAATCTTATCTTTACCCTATATCCTTAATCTTATCTTAACCTTATTTCCTCAATCTTATCTTAACCCTATATCCTTAATCTTATCTTAACTCTATTTCCTTAATCTTATCTTAACCCTATTTCCCTAATCTTATCTTAACCCTATTTCCTTAATCTTATCTTCATCCTATTTCCTTAATCCTATCATAACGCTATATCCTTAATCTTATCTTAACCCTATATCCTTAATCTTACCTTAAACCTATATTTTTAATCTTATCCTAAACCGGTATCCTTATGGTCGGCCTACCATGCATATTAAGTTAACACCATAATAATAAAGTGTCTCCCAAAAATGCCTCCACTGGTTACGTCCGCTTTAATAGAAGCAGTGGTGGCGGAATGGGGGAGCTAAAGGCTATATAGACCCCCTCCCTCCAAAAAATGGATGAGATTCCAAATTTTGAAGTATATATATATAAAATTTGGGCAACTTCATGGGAAAAATTCAGGAAATTGAGGTGTATTAAAATGCTAAGTAGGAAATATGTTAGGTCCGGAGAATTTTTTGGCTTCGCCCCCTGTCGTCGCCAAGATTTCCCGGAAAAATTTGGAAATTAGCCCCCCCTCCCCTCCTAAATAAAAACTGTTCCACCGCCACTGAATAGAAGATGTAGTTTTTTATACTATATTTAATAACAAACATATCATGTCAATCCATTGATGTTTGGACATATTCAGACTTGTTGAAATACTGGAAAGTAGGTTAAAAGTATTGTGTTAATACATTTCAAAAAGAATTTTTGAAGAAAATGGCCACGTCTCACACTGATGACTTGTTCTCTTTAATATTTCGTTTCAAGTAAAAATGAATGAAACAAGCCTGGGCAGAGATTAGAAAATGTCATGAGTTCGCTTTTTTGGACAAAAATTTATAGAAACTAAAAAATTAAGGCAGTTCCCCTTTTCTGTCTGGGTTTAATTAGGCCTCATTTTTACTACATTTTTACCTGAAACGAGATATTGATGATACAATATAGAACATAATCATCAGTTTAAAGCTAGTGTAGAGTAGAAATTTAAGGCAGAAGATCTAGACTTTAAACAATATAGTAACCGTAGACTATATTTAAAACAAAATTAATAATAGGTGGAAAATCGTACAAGAAATTAGATATGAAAACTACCGAACATCATGAAGTAGAACTTTTCGTTCAACACATGTATATTGTTTTTATGTGCATGCGAATAATCTGAATATTGTAAACATAATATGGTAATATCACTAAATATAGTGCAGGTAATTTTTGGGACACCTTGTATAAATAATGTAGTTGAAATCCTTTTTTCTCTAGAGACCATGTCGCTCTGGTTACAAGCCAGTTGGTGCCGACTGCAGAATTAAGTACAGCAAGAAAGCCTGGTATGAGGGAAATGAAGTGATTGCTCAATGCTATCGGTGTACAGCAAGGGGGTTCCAATGTCAAAACGCACATCAACCCGATAAATATTGTAAAGACTACGAAATACGGTTTTTGTGTTATAAACGTAAGTATATCATATATGGTGAAGTCACGGGTCTCTAAATTAATTCTGGATGGTAGGAAAGGAAAAGCACTTAAAATGGGATTAAACAATTGGAAATAGGGGTTTTTTGGGAGATGGAATTCTTGGGTTTCATATGAAAGCGAAACACAGTTATTAGAGTGAGTTGACTGTTCGTTTTATGTAATAGCCTTGTGTTTGGTGGCAAATATATGGCATTTCATATAATTTTCTCACACCAGTACACAGGGTTCGTACATGTCAGGAAGAGTCAAATTCAAGGACTTTTCAAGGACATTCAAGGTCATGTGTCAGCAAATTCAAGGACTAAATACTGAAGAAGAAGGCGTTAGAAATCAGCAAAATCTGACGTTGAATTGTTCAAAAAACATAACTTCATAATGAGGTCAGATATGAACATGCAAAATCAGTTCAACAAAATGTCCGTCTTGAATGTCAAAAAATTTCAGAAAATATCCAAAAACTAAAGCAAGAAGAATTCAAGTACTTTCAAGTGCTTCTTTACAAATTTAAGGACATTCAAGGCCTTGAATTTTTGTTTTCAAATTCAAGGACATTCAAGGACTTTCAAGTTTTGTACGAACCCTGAGTACAGCATAAGCGTCAATACATTTGTGGTTGACCCCCCGTCAGAATCACTGCATAATGGCGTAGTGAAACCCAAGAATAGGTTTATCGAAAGACTGGGAAATGGAATTGAACCACCCTATGGGGCTTCTCTTTCAGGAATCTCTAATATATATAATTGAAGTGGAAGTCAAGTCCGCATGTAAACAAACGGTTTGTTTACATTTTGAACTGCTGTATTTTTTAAAATATGGTGTCTGACGCTATTTTGGTTCGCTATGCTTCTAAATGAATACGAAATAGAGTTTATGTTTAGAAAAATTCGAAACTTTCGAAACTTTATATCCTTAGTCTTATCTTCACCCTATATCCTTAATCTTATCTTAACCCTATATCCTTAATCTTATCTTAACCCTATTTCCTTAATCTTATCTTAACTCTATTTCCTTAATCTTATCTTAACCTTATTTCCTTAATCTTATCTTAACCCTATATCCTTAATCTTATCTTAACCTATTTCCTTAATCTCATCTTAACCCTATATCCTTAATCTTATCTTAACTCTATTTCCTTAATCTTATCTTAACCCTATTTCCTTAATCTTATCTTTACCCTATATCCTTAATCTTATCTTAACCTTATTTCCTCAATCTTATCTTAACCCTATATCCTTAATCTTATCTTAACTCTATTTCCTTAATCTTATCTTAACCCTATTTCCCTAATCTTATCTTAACCCTATTTCCTTAATCTTATCTTCATCCTATTTCCTTAATCCTATCATAACGCTATATCC